TTCAGCCAGAAATGCCGAGTGGATGATCCATCTTAGCCTCCTCCAATGGTCCCCAGCATTACAGATACCAGTCTTCAGCCAATTTGATTCACTCCACGTGATATCAAGAAACAGTTGGAGACATTGGATACTGCAAAGGCTAGGGGCCCTGACAACATTCCAGCAAATGTACTAAAGACTTGCGCTCCAGAACTTGCTGCTCCTCTTGCCAAACTGTGCCAGTACAGTTACAACACTGGTATCTACCCAACAATGTGGAAAATCACCCAGCTATGTCCTGTACACAAAAAGCAGGACAAATCTACCCCTGCCAATTACCCCCATCAGTCCACTCTCAATCAACAGTAAAGTGATGGAAGGGTTTATCAACAGTGCTATCAAGCAGCACCTGATCAGCAAAAACCTGCTCACTGACACCCAGGTTGGGTTCCCCTGGAGCCACTCAGCTCCTGACCTCATTACAGTCTTGGTTCAAACATGGACAAAACAGCTGAATTACAGAGGTGAGATGACAGCGACAGTTCTTGACATCAAGGCTAGATTCGACCGAGTGTGGCATCAAGGAGCCCTAACAAAACTGGAATCAATAGATATCAGGGAGCAAACTCTCCACTGGTTAGAGTCATACCTGACACATAGGAAGATGGTCATGGTTGTTGGAGGTCAATCATCTCAGCTCTAGGACATCTCTGCAGGAGTTCCTCAGGGTAGTGCCCTAGGCCCAATCATCTTCAGCTGCTTCATCAATGACTTTCCCTCCATCATTAGGTCAGATGTGGGATGGTCACCGATGATGGCACAATGTTCAGCACCATTCGTGACTCCTCAGATACTGAAGCAGTCCATGTTCAAATGCAACAAGATCTGAACAATATTGGGTGGCTCAGTGGTTAGCACTGCTGCCTCACAGCACCAGGGACCTGGGTTCGATTCCAGCCTTGGATGACTGTGTGGAGTTTGAACATTCTCCCGGTGTCTGCATGGATTTCCGCCAGGTGCTCCGGTTTCCTCTCACAGTTCAAAGATGTGCAGGTTAGGTGGATTGGCTATGCTAAATTGCCCATGGTGTCTAGGGTAGGGGGTGGGTCTGGGTGGGATGCTCTTTGGAGGAATGGTGTGGACTTGATGGGCTGAATGGCCTGCTTCCACACTGTAGGGATTCTATGATCTATCAACCTGACAGATGGCAGTTAACATTTGCGCCACACAAATACCAGCTAACGACAATCATCAGTAAGAGACACAATCTAACTATAGCCCCTTGACATTCAATGATGTTAGCATCACTGACTCCCCCACTATCAACATTCTGCAGATTACCATTGACCAGAAACTCAACTTGACTTGCCATATAAACGCAGTGGCTACAAGAGCAGGTCTGATATTAGGAATACAGCAACGAGTACTCCATCCTGACACTACTCCTGCCCCAAAGCCTGTCCACCATCTAGAAGGCACAAATCAGAAGTGTGATGGAACACTTGACTGGATGGGTGCAGCTCCAACAACACTCAAGAAGTTTGATATCACCCAGTATAAATCAGCCTGCTTGACTCCACCACCAAAGCTTAGTAGTAGAAATGTGTACTATCTACACTGCAGAAATTCACCAAAGATTCTCAGATAACATTTTCCAAACCTGCAACCACTTCCATCTAGAAGGACAAGATATATGGGATTACCACAACCTGCAAGTTCCCTTCCAAGCCACTAACCATTCTGACTCGGAAATAGATCACCGTTCCTTCACTGTCACTGGGTCAAAAATCCTGGAATTCCCTCCCTAATGGCATTGTGGGTCAACCCACAGCAGGTGAACTGCAGCGGTTCAAGAAGGCAGCTCACCACCTTCTCAAGAGCAACTAGGGAACAGGCAATAAATGCTGGACGAGCCAGTGACACCCACAGCCCACACAAAAAAAATTAAAAATCCCAGATCTACCCCAGAAGGTTTGATACAGGGTTTGTCCTATCCTTTACTATATTCTGTAATGTGTGGCAAATGTAGTGACCTCATCTACACCTGTCTGGCCAGATCCTATTTGACACTGGTTAGGCCAGGCAAAGTTTAGTCACAAAGTATCCGGCTCCTGTACATCCAGGAGTGCAGGAAAACGAGAGTTAAAATACACATTAGGGGATGAACAAGTCTTTCTTTCCGTTTGTCTAACCGAGTAAGTGGGGTTTGAAAAACCATTGATTAAATTAGCAAACTAATATTTGCAATAATTTTGTGGATTCCCAGGAAAGAGTTGTCAGAAATAATATTCCAATGATGCATTCTTTAACATAAAGAAATGCTCATAACTGGTGCTCCTAATGGATATTTCAAAACCAGAGCCGCATGCTGAAAATCAACAAAAGCCTCCGATGTTAGAAAGGCAAAATAGAGAGTTATTCAACCATACAGCAAACTGCTCTGTTAATATAAATGTTTACAATATGTCTACAGCCTCTCTAGCCCTTCCTAAAAGTAGCATCTAATATAACCTTTAAGCATTTTTAAAATTTATTTTCAGCTGCACAGGAGACATTAATATGAATCAATTGAAATTAATCTAAGCTTCATTATCATTTTTGACAGTCTATTTCTACATCTATCCATATTTTAAAGGAGAACCCAGCTGAGGCTCTAATACCGTAAGAACTTAAGATTCATACCGAAAGTGCCGGGACAAATTTCTGTCTTTCCCCATTTCTCAAAAGTCTTCAGTATGCAGCACACACCTTGCACAGCAGTCGCGCAAACATTTCATCCCAATAACGGCCAGCGGGAGGAAGCTTCAAAGTGCAGGTCAGCTGCCTCTCACCACTCTGCTGGATGGAATGCCCAGTTTCCTCTCACTGAGCATCAGAACTCAAACTGGCTCTGCCGGCAAACTCGGTGATTTTTTTTCCTCTCTCTCTCTCTCGCAGACCCAGTTTTCACAGGAACAGTAAGTAGCACATTGGCTCATAGAGTGCTAGTTAGAGAACGAGCTGTGTTGGATAGTGTCTAGCAGTTGAATTAGCTCAGTCTTATGAGTACAGGCAGTATATGCGAGAGACCAAACTGAGAAAGCAGAAGGTCCCCGCTGAATATCATATTCCTCTATCAATTTGTCTGGCAAGGTGTACAGCTTTTGATAATTAGTTCAACTCAGAGACCGCTCAGATTAAATGGAATGGTTCAAGGGATTCCTGCATTGAGGGAGAAAACTCATAGGTGCGTCCACCTCCAAATACCAGTGCACTAGTCAAACTCACTCTCTGAGAGGATACTCCTTCACTGATTAGTCTTTCCTTCCTTTCCAACCCAAGCAGACCTCTCTAAAGGAAGCCTATGTGGAATTAATATCAATAGGGTATTTGCTCAAGGTAGTGTCTCTGCTCCTAAGAATAGGGCTGTATTAGGACTGGCCGGTAATGGCAGTGGAGTGATCAATTAACAGCCATTGGAACCTTGATCAAATGACATAGCAAGTGCTTAACCAACTAACAGTGAAAGGTCTGTGGGGCAGTATAAGAGGATTGCAGAGGATTTATTAAGCTTAACTGACGTGAACATTGACCTTCACTAAAAAAAGTGTTGAATTAATTTGCAGCCTTGAGCTCACCAGAATGAAAATCACCTGAGCAAAGCATTAACTTCAGTTGGTCAGGGACCACAGCTTGTCAACAAAAGCTAAAGGCTGCACATCAGTATCCGATGTGGAGAGAAGGGGCAAGGTTAGAACCCAATAATTTCACTTACCTAAGGAAGCACATCACACAAGGTAACCGTGTTTCATTCTCCACACAGAACTGCAACTGTTAGTCATATTCTAAATATGTAATTAGCTCACTCTGTTCAGTCTGAACAGACTGGCCAACACCTTTCCCTTCTCAATCTTCCAATGACCTAATTATGCCTAAATTGGGTAAAATAATGTCAGGAAATCCAAAAGAAATTAAAAGATTCATAAAACAGAGATGAGGAAAGTTGAAATATTGGCCAAGCAAGGGGGAGGAGCACTAATCCACAGTATGAGCCTGAGGATATTTTCCAAAGATAGCACAATGAAAAATAGAAAAAAAATCTAGTTCACAAGTTAGATATAAATCTGCAGTGTCCCAGAAAGTGAAGTTGGACAGTGTGGAAAAAGACAAATAGACTGAGATCCAATGAGGTCAGAACTAAGATTTGTTTTTTGTCACTGTAGAACAGAGAGAGAAAAATGAACAGAAGGCAAGATAAGGAAATGAAGGGAAGAAAGATAAATTGACAACAGGGAACTGAAATAACAAGAGGAAAGAGTCAGACAGCTGGAGCAATATGGAGAGACAAAATGGTCAAAAACAGTCTAAAAGAATATAGATGGATAAACAGAATACAAATACTAAAGTTCAGAAAAAAAAGACTTCCACAGAGATAGACATAGAGAGAATGAAAAAGGTAGAGGAATAAAAACATAGAAGAAAGTGAAAGAAATGGAGGGGTACATTAATTCCAGAGGGCAAGTGTGATGCATTGATTGAAGTGCAAGGGACGATATAGTCATTTCAAAGTGTGAGGATTTATATGTTAATTTCAGTCTGAGGGATGGTGAGTTAACTTCAGGTGGTGGAGTGGGAGTTCAAGGAGTAGTGCATTAATTTTAGAAGCGATCAGCTTCCATTGGTTCTTAGCCATATATTTATGCCTTTTCAGAATTTCTTGTCATTTTCTCCTCCTTTGCATTGGTCCTTATTCTTGGCTCTGCTTGACAGCTAGTAGGTTGATATGTGACAAGTGGGCCTGGTGAGGCAAGCTTAATCCAGGGGAGAAGTACAGTGTTATCTTGGCTGTGGGAATTGAACAATTTGGCTTTCCATCCCTCACTGTGGGATTCAGATGTACAGGGCACAGAAAGATGCCATTATTTTGAGGACAGAGTGAACTTTGAGTTTTTTGTACTTATGTTGCAGTGTAGTAATGTTGTAAGAAACTAGTCTGATTTGAGCAGACTCCTGTTCTGTTATGTTCCCTATGCAGGGCCTACCTGATGTCATCAATGAGCTGCTGCTGCTCTTCGGTACACAAAATCATAGGGAGTGCGTAAGCCAGGTAATCAACCTTGCGCTCAGCTGCATACTGCTTCAGGAGGGTGTGCAGCTTCTCTTTCACTTCAGGCTGCTCCCCAAGCACAGCATCAATCTGGGTTTAAAACAGAAATTTTGGTTAACCATGTGGCAGAGCTAAGAGCAACATAGGAGCAGTGAGAAATATCTAGATGCAAGGACATTGCTTCAAAGGTATCAGACTCTATCTTATTTCACATTCATCCTGTCACTAAAGTGACACTCTCCTTCTTTGCCAAAGGAGAGAAAAAAAAGAGAAGTGTACCTTTTCTGAGTGCTCCTAGGGCAGGTTGCAAAATAAATGGGCAGGAAGACCCTTTTCCGAATCTTCAGCTGCAACAAAAGAGTTTTTCTATGCCTACGTTTGGTTCGAAAAAAGATGAGCTATTCCCTGTGGGTTTAATCTCAGGTCCTTGATTTGAAAACCTGCTGCTGCCCAGATAAGTGCCTAATTGTTTCTTCAGGAAGTTTTCATGAAAGTAGGATTCTAGCTGGCCTGCAGCAATGGGCAATACCCCCAGTGTCTCCATTAAAAACCACCCACAAACATGCCTCACCAATCTTGCTTTTTTAAATCTGATTAAGTACTAATGCAAAAAATAAGATATAAAAAGTAAAGGATACGAGAGTCTGAAGCAATTTGTTGATGTGGGATATATCGGAGTGTTGCAATGGGATAGATCACAGAGCATTACAGTGGGGTTTCTTATGGAATGTTACAGTTAGACATCAATGACACATTGGTTACAGTGAAAGGTGCAGGTCAGCAGTTCCCAATATGTGGGTTACAACTGTACAGCCAGTGTTGATTTGATCAGGATATCCATTACTATGCACAATAGGGTATATAAAACCTGTCTCTTGAATCCATTTGGGTGGAAATTAGGAATAGCAGGGAGAAGAAGTCACTGATAGGTATGGTCTATAGGCCACCATTAGGAATAGCAGGGAGAAGAAGTCACTGATAGGTGTGGTCTATAGGCCACCAAATAATGACATCGGGCGATAAACATAGAAATAGCTAATGCATGTAAAAATGGTACAGCAATTATCATGGGGGATTTTAATCTACATATCGATTGGTCAAACCAGGTTGGTTTTGGCAGCCTTGAGGAAGGGTTCATAGAATGCATCTGCGATAATTTCCTTGAACAGTATGTAATGGAACCTACTAGGGAGCAAGCTATCCCAGATCTAGTCTTGTGTAATGAGACAGAATAATTAATGATCTCACAGTTAGGGATCCTCTCGGAAGGAGCGATTACAGTATGGTCGAATTTAAAATACAGATGGAGCGTGAGAAGGTTAAATCCAGTGCCTATGTCCTGTGCTTGAACAAAGGAGACTATGAAGGAATGAGGGAGGAGTTAGCTAAGGTAGAATGGGAGCAAAAACTTTATGGTGGGTCAATTGAGGAACAGTGGAGGATTTTCAAAACGACTTTTCACAGTGCTCAGCAAAAGTATATTCCAGTGATAAGGAAGAACTGTAGGAAAAGAGGTAGTCAGCCATGGATGTCTAAGGAAATAAAGGAAAGTATCAGATTGAAAAAAAAAAATACAGAAAAGCAAAGAGTAGTGGGAAACTAGTAGACTGGGAAATCTTTAAAGGCCAACAGAAAGCCACAAAAAAAGTTATAAAGAAAAGTAAGATAGATTATGAGAGTAAACTAGCTCAGAATATAAAAACAGGCAGCAAAAGTTTCTATAAATATGTAAATCGTAAAAGAGTGGCGAAGGTAAACATTGGTCCTTTAGAGGATGAGAAGGCCAATTTAATAACTGGGAATGAGGAAATAGCCGAGACATTAAACAGTTATTTCGTGTCGGTCTTCACAGTGGAAGACACAAATAACATGCTGAAAACTAATGGCAAGAAGGTTATAGCAGGTGAGGACCTAGAAACTATCATTATCACTAAGGAGGCAGTGCTGGGCAAGCTAATGGAGCTAAAGGCAGACAAGTCTCCTGGCCCTGGTGAAATGCATCCCAGGGTACTAAAAGAGGTGATGGGGGAAATAGCAAATGCACTAGTAATTATTTACCAAAGTTCACTGGACTCTGGGGTGGTTCCCGCAGATTGGAAAACAGCCAATGTGACACCACTGTTTAAAAAAGGAAGTAGACAAAAAGCAGGTAACTACAGGCCAGTTAGCTTAATTTTGGTAGTGGGGAAAATGCTTGAATCTATCATTAAGGAAGAAATAGCAAGACATCTGGATATAAATTGTCCCATTGGGAACACCCAGCATGGGTTCATGAAGGGTAGGTCATGTTTAACTAATTTGGTGGAATCCTTTGAGGACATTACTTGCATGGTGGACAATGGGGAACCTGTGGATGTGGTGTATCTGGATTTCCAGAAGGCATTTGACAAGGTGCCACACCAAAGGCTGCTACATAAGATAAAGTTGCACAGTATTACAGGTAATGTATTGGCATGGATAGAGGATTGGTTGACCAGTAGAAAGCAAAGAGTAGGAGTAAATGGGTGTTTTTCTGGTTGGCGGTCAGTGGCTAGTAGTGTGCCTCAGGGATCAGTGTTGGGACCACAATTGTTTACAATTTACAAAGATGTGTTGGAGTTGGGGACTAAGTGTGGTGTGTCAAAATTTGCAGATGACACTAAGGTGAGTGGTAGAGCAAAGTGTACAGAAGACACTGAAAGTCTGCAGAGGGATATAGATAGTCTAAGTAAGTGAGCAAAGGTCTGGCAGATGGAGTACAATGTTGATAAGTGTGAGGTCATCCATTTTGGTAGGAATAACAGCAAAATGGACTATGTTTTAAATGGTAAAAAATTGCAGCACGCTGCTGTGCAGAGGGACTTGGGTGTCCTTGAGCATGAATTGCTAAAAGTAGGATTGCAGGTGCAGCAGGTAATTAAAAAGGCAAATGGAATTTTGTCTGTCATTGCTCGAGGGATGGAGTTTAAAAACAGGGAGGCTATGCTGCAGCTGTATAGGGTCCTGGTGAGGCCACACCTGGAGTACTGTGTGCAGTTTTGGTCTCCTTACTTGAGAAGAGATATACTAGCACTGGAGGGGGTGCAGAGAAGATTCACTCGGTTGATTCCAGAGTTGAGAGGGTTGGATTATGAGGAGAGACTGAGTAGATTGGGATTATACTCATTGAAATTCAGAAGGATGAGGGGAGATCTTATAGAAACAAATAAGATTATGAAGGGAATAGATAAGGTGGAGGCAGGGAGGTTGTTTCTGCTAGCAGGTGAACCTAGGACTAGAGGGCATCGCCTCAAAATAAAGGGAAGCAGATGTAGGACTGAGGTCAGGAGGAACTTCTTCACCCAAAGGGTTGTGAATCTGTGGAACTCCCTGCCCAGTGAAGTGGTTGAAGCTACCTCGCTGAATGTTTTTAAGGCAAGGCCAGATAAATTTTTGAACAGTAAAGGAATTAAGGGTTATGGTGAGTGGGCGGGTAAGTGGAGCTGAGTCTCAAAAAGATCAGCCACGATCTTATTAAATGGTCGGGCAGGCTCGAGGGGCCAGATGGCCTACTCCTGCTCCTAGTTCTTATGTCTCCCCATCAAGCTAACATAGAGTAGATGGCTAGAATCCTATTCATAAGCTTTCCACTAAGACTGATCTTGCATGCATGAGCCTGTAGTATATTGACACGTATACTGACCAGTGAACTAAGCTTTCAATAGGTCATAGTTAAGTACCCATTGTTGAGCTTCTCAACTTATTCATCGAGGAAAGGGAGCTGGTTAGATTGTTTCTATTCAATGGTGCATTTGAGCATGGGATGGAGCAAGAAATGCACTGAAACAGCTGTGGATTCAAGGATCACAAACATATCGTCCACATATCAGAAATGTGCAAAGTGTCACTTCATTGAAGATGTGTATCTCATGGTAACCAATGTTAGCTAGGGTGGGGCACTAGGGAGATCCCATGACAAGACCGTCTATTTGGATGTATTGCTGTCATTGAAACTGAACTCAGCTGCACAAATTGTTAAGTTCATGACTTGGATGAAAACAGATTCAGACACAAATGGTACATTTAGATTGTTATGATATAGTCAATGGATTCTTTAAGTGGTATGTTGATTAATCTTCAAAATACAATAATTAATTGCAAGGTAAAATGCCAAACAGGATGATATTTTGCATTTGGTGTTGAAATCAAGCTCCAATCAGATTTCCATGTAATGTCTATTACGGATACGACACACCAATGTGGTCAATTCACTGGTTTCTGGAGAGTGCAGACTTTTTGCATTTACATCTGCAGTCAGACGAATGCCTTTCTAAAGCTACAGCTACATAACCGGTATAAGAAAGACAGGCATGTTGCAATTATATCTCATTAGGCCTGCTGAGTACAAAAATAATTACATAACACTTTAAATACACAAATCTGTGTATTTATATGATGCATTATTTATTGACCTGTATTGCCTGAACTTTATATATGGACTGTTACTGTCCTTTGTTGCTGTTTGGTTTCTCTGAGTCTAGGCTGCACTAATTTAAGTATTAGAGTGGGGTTGGATTTGAAAATAACTTGGGAGGTGATGGTGTGGGGTACATCAGAGTGTTAAAGTGACAGGTGTGGAAATATCACAGAGTGAAACACTGGAAATAGAGACAGAGAGTATATTAAATTATGTCAGAGTTGATCCCTCTCCCCCAGCAAATTTTAGTGAGGTCCAAACATCTGACTTGGGATACAGAGGAAGTGATTTCCCCAGTCCTGGTTAATGTCTGGTTACCATTTCAGAAAAAGTCATGTTGGGCAACAAAAAAACGAAGGATTGCAGGGGATGCAGGAGTGCCAATAAAAGTGGGGAATAAAATACTTTTGGAAGCATACATTGTCAAGTTGATGTGCACTGGTCTCTGGCACTGTGAATAATAAATCTGCAACAAGAGATTCTTATTCTCCTCAAATTCTAAACAAGTGCAATGCTATTGCAGTTGTAGTGCCAGAAGTAATGAAACAAGTGCCTCCAGTGCTCAAACATTGTAAACTCTGTGGAAAATCTCCAAATTTATCAATAGAAAGATTTTGATTTCAGTTTCCAATCACCCAGGTTATTTGACCATACCAGAGCTGTCAGTAACTCATGATCCCCAAATATAACTTGCTCTATTAAGCAAGGAGCCAGGTACTCATTGCAAAACCTTCAGAAACCTCCTTTACATGTTGTCATTAGGATTCAACTGCAATCTAACATGGGTGGTTGTGTGGGAAGACATTCAGGAAGACGAGTGAAAAGGCTCCATGGACAAAATCTGTCACCTATCAGAATTCTGCTTTTGGCCTCTGGGTTACAGAAATTTTGACCCAATGCTCTACTTAAAATAACACAAAGAATGCTGGAGAAGCTCAGCAAATCTGGCTATGGACTGGGAAACAGAGTTAATGTTTCATATCTGGTATGACTCTTCTTCAGAACAATACTTGGAATGTTTGGGAAGTAAGCTCTGGAGGAGTGGACAAGTCTCCATTTCACCTTGCTACTCACCTGCCCAGTGTTAAAATCTGGTTTCTTTCTGTTTCTTATGGTATTGTTTTATTTTACAGAGGAAGTATCAGCCTAATGGAGTTAAGAAACCTGGTATTTATACAGGTCAGCAGGTGACTTCTATAACTTCAACCTCACCTCCCGAAACTTTTCCTCACGTCTTACCTTGTAAATGATATTTGTAAGGACTGTTTAAGGAAAAGTTTTTTTTTTAAATTGGCCAATGGTGGAGTGAAACTGAGTCTGACCAGTTATACTTTGGGAGGGAGAGCAATTCCAAATCCCCTTGAACATTTGGACTAGCTTCTGTTTTAAGGGCCAGACACAAAGTCAATAAACTACAACGACTTAAACTGACTTCAGATGAATGAGAGCTGATTAATTAATTATAGTACAATTAACTGAAGAAACACTCTCCTGTTACATACCATATTTTAGGTACCACATATAAGAGTCTACTCTCATGAGCTGCCTTTGTGTCCTTCCCCAGTGCTACTTTGCACAGATGGAAAACAGAACAACAGTACTTGTAGCAAAAAGCTTAAGTGAGTCTACATAAGGTGTTTAGAACTTAAACACAGACAAGCAGTAAAGGAAAGCATAGAATCCCTACAACATGGATGCAGGCCATTCTGCCCATTGAGCCCACACTGACCCTCCGAAGAGCATCCCACCCAGAACCATCCCCAACCCCCTACCCTATTCCTGTATCTCTGCATTTCCTATGGCTAATCCACCTAGCCTACACATCCCTGGACACTATGGGCAATTTGGCATAGCCATTCCACCTAACCTGTACATCTTTGGATCCTGGGAGGAAACTGGAGCACAGGGAGAATGTGCAAACTCCACACGGATGGTCGCCCAAGGCTGGAATTGAACTTGGGTTCCTGGTGCTGTAAGGCAGCAGTGCTAGCCACTGAGCCATCCCTTTAATGTTGTCAAGCCTGAACTAAAGCTTTACGTTTTCACTGGGTGGATGAATCCTATTTATCCAGAGATCCCAAAGCTCCAGAAACTTTGCAAATTATCACAAACAGGTCCTTTCTGCTTGCCTGGCAGTCTCCTACCTTTTTATTAAATTCCAAAGCTTTAAACTTCCTCTCCTGATGTATCGCATCAGCATTCTGAACATATTCACGGATACTGCTGCTGATCCGTTTTTGTCTCTTCCCAAAGCATAGGACTCCCAGTTTCAATGGTTTCCCATGATTGGCCTTTATCATGGAAGCTGCAACTTCATAGTTTTTTACTGGGATCCCATTAACCTCCATAATATAGTCACCACTCTTGAGTCCAAGCTCGGCTGCAGGCGAATCTGGGAGACAATCCTCGATCTGCAAAGGGCTGTCACCACTCAGGTTGAAACCAAATCTTCCATCTGCTGCAGGCAGGAGGTCTATCTGCTCAATACGAGACACCACACCAATACTAGGAGGAACAGTTTTACAATGTCTGGCTAAATTGATTATCGTATCACTACTCAGGGATGACACATCCTGTCCCTCAATTTCCAGAATCTGATCTCCTGGCTGCAGACCAGCAACATGCGCACTACTGCCCTCTTGCACGGAAAGGATGTAGCATGGACCATTCCCGCTGATATGAAATCCAAACTCTTCTGGCCATCCTTGATTGTTGCTTGACATTATAGGAACTAGAGTGAAACAAAAGAGGGAATTTCAGATTCCAAAAGAATTAAGCCGATTGCAAACATTCTGGAATTCAGAATATAGAAAGCAATGTTAAAAGAAACTGTTTAAGAAACAGGAAGTAGAAAATTCCTGTGAGGGGTGTAATGTCAGACTAGGGTGGTGTTTTTGGAACTCAGAGGTTACTGCTTGGATGCTAAGGCAATAAATACTTTCTTAGCCAACAACAGCCACAATTCATGAATAATAATTTTTTTTTTATAAAAGTTAACTTTTTTAACTTTTTCCAAGGGGTGAGGATCAGTAATTAGAAGACAAAGATTTAAAGTGACTGGCAGAAGAACCAGAGGCAACATGTGCTGAGTTACTATGATCAGAACTGCAACATTTGAAAGGATGATGGGAGCAAAGACAATAATAACTTTTAAAAAGGAACTGGAAAATACATTGCTGGATTAAGGAGAAAGAACAGGGGTCTGAAAATAATTGGATAGCTCTTTCAAAGACCTAGCACAGACACAATAAGCCAAATGGCCTCCATCTCTGGTGTATCAATTTATTATTCTATAAATAATCTGGATTTTGATGATAAAATATTCAATCCCACTTCAGATTAGTTTATAGTCCAACAGTTCCATTTTAATCCAATATTTAGTGAACAATTCCATTTCAGGCCATCTTCAGGTTTAATTCAAAATCTCATTACAAACAATCCAATGAGACTTTTCCTTAAGCAACCTAAAACCCAACAACCCCACTTCAAACTGTTTTTTTTCCACAAATAGTTCCATTTCTAATTGGTTTATAATCAAATAATTACATTCAAATTAATTTATAGGCCAAGAGTCCCATTTCTGGTTTGCATATAGTACAAACCAGACCACAGCCCAACAATTTGGCATCTACTGACACAGAGTGGATAAAGCAGATATCATGAAACACATTTAAGAGGAAACTTGATGCACATATGAGGTAAGAGAGAATAATGGGATCAGTCATGCTGGTGAGAGGTAATAACTCTTGCCGATGAATGTAAAATGCATGTTCATTTAATCAAGTTAATCAAGAAATAGACAATTTTCCTTCTTCACCTTGAAAATTAAAAGTAAATTTCATGGCACCTTTGGAATTTTGCGTTCAGCTGTTCAAGATTGCAAAATTGAGCCCTCGACCTCCTACACCAATTTCGCAGGATCAACAAATTCAGGATGAGAAGAAATGAAAGAGAAAAGTTTGCACTCAGTGAATGGTATCTGACCACAGAAATACTGCTATGCAAATCAGAAGCCATTATCCAGGATATCTTCATTGCACACTAATCCATGGTGTCCAATTTACTAGAAGGAGAATAAACAAGACCAGAGTTACCTTTTGTATCCACCATCATTGACTCTATTGAATTGTAAAAGGACACTTTGCCTGGTTATATCAGCAGTCAATCATATGGTCCATCATTAATCTTCAATAAAAAAAATGTAATGCAACTTGGGTACAATGCAAGGAAACGTTCAAAAGGGTGGTTGTTTGCAATACTATACTTGAAATAGGAATTCTTAGTTAGGATGGAAGCTCCCCAAAGATGTCTTTCCGTCCTTCATGAGTCCCACAGAAATATGAGCACATGGCTGCGTATCATTACATTCACTTCCTTATTGTTGTACTTTTGTTTACTTTTTTATAACTAGATACTAGGGAATTGGTGACTGCATTGATCTTCTCTACATGCAAGTGGACACCTGTACTTTTACAAGGTGGACTTAGCTTCGTGTAGCGCCACCCTTCTTTGGGGCACCTCCAACAACTGCAACTTACATTTAAAAAGGAACTTTTGCACAGTAAAATGTCCTAATCATGTCAAGGGCCTTTATTATCTAACACCGTGTCTCATAAGGGGAAATAAGACAGATGACCAAAAGCTTGATCAAAGATATAGGCTTTAAAGGAGAAGGAGAGGTAATGTCTCAAGGAAGGGTAGAGCTGGAGAAGTTTTGAGAAGGACTACCAAATTAAATGACAGGTGGGGATGAATATTAAAGAGACCAATATTGGAGGAATGTAGATTACATGTATCTTAGGGGTTTATGGAGTTGGAGAAGGTTACAGGAATAAGGCAGGCCAAGGCCATCAAGGGATTTGAAAACAAGGATGAAAAGGTTAAAACTGATTCCTGTTTAAGCAACACCTCAGCGTTGGTGAGCAAGCACAGTGTTGATAAGTGAAAGGGATTTGGTGAGAGTTAGGAAACATACAGGATTCTGGATGAGTTTAAATTTATGGCAGAAGAAAAATGATGTTTACGGTGTCTACTTTTATTTGTACGCTCTGTGGACAAATGGATATCTTTCAGTCCATAACACAATTCATTCTTATAGCAAGCAATGGCCCTTTGAGAGCTTAGTTCTCACTGGACTTCGTGGTGTTTAGTAACGTATGCTACAGATGAGTGTTTCTAGTGACCTGTAGTTGTAGCTTATTCAAAATAATGGGTGAGTCTTACTTTGCAAAAACTCAACATGGCACTTCCTCATATATTGGGTCAGGTGCATTCATGGTAAAGGCGCATACTCAGAATCTGGGTTAATGTGTATAACATCGAGAATTTTAAAGGCTGTAATGTTTCTCATTTTTATCCTTTATGCTCTATCTGCCAAAATATCAAGAGCAAGAAAAAATCCTCCCAAAGATTTATTTGACAGTATTTTGATGAATGTGCCCTTCCTTTCTGCATCTGCAATTTCACTGCTTGGTGCTACATAATCCATGCGCAAGCCATATAGTAAAAGAATCATTGTGTGAAAATCTGGGGTATCAATTCTGGTAGATGAGATAACCTGAGGGTAAATGTAAGTATGATCAAAAGAACAGAACCTAAGAACCATTCAATGCTGTTGAATGGTATAAAAAGAGAAAAACTAGATAGTTAACATCTTCAGAATGATACAATATAAATTCTGAGCGTATAGTATCATAATTTAATACAATAGGTATGAAAGCAAATAGAACAAACTGCCCACACTTACTCATTTGGATTGAAAATGTGACCCATTTTCATGTGTCTCTCTCAAAGATAGATGTGAACTGGAATCCATCTTATACTTGCTCATAATTTTTATTCTAATCTTCCACAAATGTGAAAAACCTTGTGGATAATTTCAAATGTACTGTTGTTGCTTAAAGTCCATGTGTTTTCTATAAAAAGCATTTAAATTAATTTTCAAATATGACAGTAAACTTAAAATAATGAGACAGAAATATTGTTGCTTGAACTTATGTTTAGCCTCTGAATAAACCTATGCAGTACTGTTTCAGCTTAATGAACTGCCTTGGAATGTTCATCACAAAGGAAAGGTGGCAAGCAATTTAATAGCTAAACAAGTCTAAGCTTTAATATCTAAAGTTTTCTTGACAATACACAACACTTTTCATCCAACTAAACCAAGTTTCAGATTAAAATTGGATTATCATTATCTGTGATCCAGTCCTGCAAAAGAGACCCACTGGCAAATGTTCTTAGTAGCCTGGAAGAGATGAAGAATTCCAATCTAACAAGTCACAGACCCAAATCCTATCCCCTGAAGCCTAACACACTGGAGAAATTCCTCTACTTTTAAAATTTAAAAGTCTGTTGCTCGTGTTTATTGTAGATTACACATCACGTCCTAGCTTCATAACCCACAAAACACACCTCCCGCAAATCCTTAATCAGCTGATTCTTCACATTACTTGTTGAAACCACAAGGTTTGCACCACAGAAGGATTCACTGTCATTAGGCATGGTTGCTATGGAGATGTAAATCAGCAGATTAAAAGCCATTTGTGAAAGAGCTCACAGCAGTGAGACACTTACAGAAATCTTTGGGCGAAGAAGGTAAGTCACCCGGCCCCTGACTCAAGCCATGTCTGGACTTTCGGCTTCTCAGCAACCTCTTCATTCGGTTCACAATACTTTCACGTTTAGCCATAGTTGTAGATTTAAAACTATGGCTGTATTGGGCATAGGATAAAACAGAAGTCCTGGATTCAACTTCGTCTCAAGTGCTTTTAAAACAAAAACTTTACAGCATCATTTTTCAAAGCAGAGAATCCTGTCAGCCATGAGATACTGTCACCACTGTCCTTCTCGTACAGTCGACTCTTGTGCACCAGCTGCATACGTTGTCTTTTGCAGTATCTCTGATATACAAGAGGAAGTCCTGCCTCTTGCAGAATGAGAACACGTTTCCCTTTGAATTCATCCCAGCAGCAGCTGATGCAGGAGGAGCTGCACAGTGTCCAGAAAACAGACACACACGTGAAGTGCAGGATCACCAATCATTCTGCTCTTAATTGCTGCTTTAAAAGGAGCAGCTGGGGATATTCAGATGTAAATGGAATTAGAGTCAGGAGAATTCTAACATTGATTATATAGGAAAAGAACATTATGGACTCAGAAGAACTAGGGAAATGGATCATCACAATGTGTTTGACATGAAAATAACGTTGACATCTTATGTACATTGATCTAAAGCAAGAATGGACAGTCAATACTGCCCAAATCCTGAGCAATCTTTGGAAACACATCATTATCCAACATTTTTCAACAGAGTTTTCAATTCATTTGTTTCAACTGAGGGGACCTCCTTTGATTTTTCTCTGAGACAGTAAAGTGCAAGTGTTGAATATATATAACCCTTGAGTTAATCAAATGGTGTGAAAGTTCATTACAACCACAATGCAGAGGTTGGGGGCAGTGTACCAACCAATGGTCAAATTTGTTGAATAGTGAACTGGTAAACAAACACTACTCTGTAAAAAACTGCATATTTACAGATGTTATATCATTGAACTGTCAACATTACAATAATTTACAAGTTTCATTATTCTCAAATTGTCTAAATATCAAAGAGATTTTACTCCACCAACTCTCATAAACCTGATCCTTGAAATCCGTAATTTATCTCACAAGAACAGTCAGCTGAGCTCCAAGTGACTGGAGTAATCTCTGTCTTAGATATACCATTTAAACTACTTTTTAAAGATATCCTGAAATAAAACAGATTAAAATTGCTTTACTCAGTATTACATTAAGTCAGCAGCCAATCAAAAATTATATAAGAATTTCTGCACATCTTTTCAGAGACATCTCTTAGCCTAATAATTTTTGGGACATACATGTCACTTGCAAAACCAGCATATATTTACAAATCAGGATGGTGCGTAACTTGAAGGGGAACATGTAGCAGGTGGTTTTTCAATGCACCTTTGTTCTTCCAGGCAGGCACAGGACTTTGGGAGGTGGTATCAAAGAATCCTTGAGGAGTTGACGCAATGCATCTTGTACATTCAGTGCAGCCCCTGAATGCCAGTGGTGGAGGCTGTGACTGTTTATTGTGATGAATGGAATGCCAATCAGGTTGCTTATTTTTTCTGGATGGAGTCAAGCTTCTCAAGCGTTATTGGAGTTGCAGTCTTCCAGGCAGGTGGATAGTATTCCATGTCATTCCTAACTTATGCCTTATCAGTGATGGAATGTCTTTGGAGAATTAGGAGCTAAGTTACTTATTGTAGAATACTCAGCCTTTAACCTCTTGTAATCACTTTTTGTATGTAGCTGGTCCAGTTAATTTTCTGGTCAATGGCAACCTCCAGGAGACAGATAGTGGTGAATTCAGCAATTATCATGTTCTTGAATCTCAAGGGGTGATGGTTAGACTCTCTCCTGTTGGATGAAGATGGTCATGGCTTGGAGCTTGTCAGAGTAAGCATGATTGTTGTCCAAGTCTGGTTGCATGCACCTTCACTAACTTAAGAATTGTATTTAGATCTGAACAGGTTAAATCAGTGAATGTCATTAATTCCAGCTTTATAATAGGGTCACCGAGGCCTAAAATTGCTTGGGCTGAGGACACTGACGTGAGGAACTTCTGAAGTTGCATCCTGAAGCTGGGTTACTTGGTGTCTAACTCAAGTCAAATGCTTTCTGATATCAAGGGCAGTCACACCCATATTGCCTCTGAGAGTTAGTTATTTCATCTGTGTTTGATCAAAGAACGTAATGAGGACTGGAACTGATTGGTACTGACAGAACCAAGATTGTGTATTGGTGAGCAGGTTATTGTTCAGAAAGAGATAAACAAGAACTGCAGATGCTGGAGTCAGAGACAACACAGTGTGGAGCTGGAGAAAGACAGAATGCCAGGCAGCATCAGGGGACCAGGAAAGTTGATGTTTCGGGTCGGAACCCTTCCTCAGAAATGGGGAGTAGGAAGGGAGCTGGGAAATAAATAGAGAGGAGGAATGGGACTGGGGAAAGAGAGGTGGGATGGTGATAGGTGAGTACACGTAGGGAATGGAGGAGATGGGTCAGTGGGATGGGAGGGCCAGTTGGTGGGAGAGAGGATGGACAGGTTGTGTGAGGTCAAGGAGGTGCGGATGAGAGGGAGGGTTGGACATGGGATGAGGCCAGGGGTGGGGAGATTTTAAAACTGGTGAATTCCACTTTCAGGCCATCAGGCTGTAGGCTCCCGAGGTGGAATATGAGGTGTTGTTCCTCCAGTTTGCAGGTGGTGTTATTGTGACACTGGAGAATACCCAGGATGGACATGTCACCCAGGGAGTGGGAGGGGGAGTTAAAATGGTTGACTACTGGAAAGTGTTGTCATTTGTCACGTACTGAGCGCAGATGCTCTACAAAACGGCCTCCGAGTCTCTGCTTGGTCTCACCAATGTAGAAGAGGCCACTCGCCACTTGCTCCCACCTCCAGACTGAGGCAAATTAGCCTCTCCTCAACCAAGAAGACAGGCTGCCCCATTGTAGTTAGTTGAGAAGGTGGCCACTTTGCTCATCTATATGGAACATAGTTAAATTGTACCAGTGGCAGAATGAAGCCCTTGACTGATCATTAATTGACCATTTAAGGACCTTAATTAGCTCCAGGTCAGGAAGGTTGACCAGGAGCCAATCTACCTAGAACTTAATTCCCAAAGTGGAGGGAAGGAGGCAACTCCCCTGATTATTTGCCCTACCCACTGCCTTCCCTACTATTTCTGAGTGGGTACATCCCAGTCAATGTATCTACCTGTATCCAAGAAATATGGGCATTTATAATACAAAAGGAGGACATGTTCTTGTCAGAACTGAGCTGGAGTGATCCAAAATAAATCCCATTGATTTATTCTCTTCTCCACAGCACTGTCCCTTGCTTGGCTTCAGTTATTTATCCAATTTTGTCCTAAAATGTACTGTTTACACCAAAGCCATTCAATCTAATACTCTCTTCTCAAAGACATTTTTCCCTTTTCTAATTACAGCCTGCTTGTGACAATTTGAAAATGTATTCCTCAACAGCACTGTCTCCTCAGCCAGAGAAATAGTCTGCCCTTTTTATCAAACTTTCATGATATGAGATATCTCTGTTAAATTTCCTCTTTCCCTTCTCTCCAGCAGATTTCATTTCCTGAGAATACTGGAACAATTGTCATAGCTGTTTAGAAAACCTAGAATCCCATATACCTGTTTCTTTACCAACTATATTCCCATATTTAACAATTTATGTATTTGTTTCTCCCTGCTTGGTGATTGGTGTATAATTCCTGTTGTTCATCTTTCCATGTCACATTATATTTATCCACACGAAGGAAAAGGGACAGAAATACAAACAGAGAAGGAGAACAAGAAGGTAGAAATTTGCAGAAAGAGACAGGAAGAGGTATGAGAACAGAACTGAAATAAACATGCACACAGAGAGAAATTGTGAGTTACAGTATGAGAGAAAGAAACATGCAGCAAGAAATGTAAAGAAATATAGATGAAGGCTGTGAAAGATAGAGACGCAGAGAGGAAAATTTACAGTGGGTTTTACAAGTTAATATGATGGGGAAGTCAAGATCCAGCAAGGCCCTACAATACATACTACTGCATGTTTGTGTGACAATTCCAGGGTTTTTGCTTTCACTGTTGTATCTGGGATTCCATTTCAAATATTGAACACTCACTTTATGAAGTAGTATTTCTTGATATTAGTCCTAAATTTACGTTTTATTAGTTTGAATCCATGTCTCTGGAGGGGAATGCTAGTGCACTAACTGGTTCATTTCATCAACTTAGAGTCTTAGTGAGGCTAAACCCTGAACAGAAGTAACTGAGCGGAACCAATTTCAATTACTGGACACAACAAGCCATCATTGTCTCCCAATTATAGTAGGAGGCCTGATTCAGTGAAAGTCCTGAGTGCAAATCAGCGTTGATCTACATCACAAATATCAACCAACTCAGATATCACTAAGAATTTTTGGTGAAGAAGAAAACTAAACAGGAGACATTGTTGGTGTCTGTTTGCAATGCAAGTATGGTTAAGGGCTAATAAATGAGGATAAGCCAGTCACCACTTCAAGTCCACATCTTCCAAAGCATTATCAACATTATTCTGATTATTCCCTAATTTTCTAAGTGTGAGTAATAACCACAGAAAATCATGGAAAATGAAGAAAAGATTGTCTCAAAGGAAAAAGAGTGCCAAAGTATAGTTGACCAAAGGATGCCCACTTAAATGAAAGAAAAGTTTACACGATTGATTTATCGGTCATTGCCTGGTCAGCCTCCCAACTTTCATCTTCTGTAAATTCTGATCTATCTGCCATTCATATTCAAGCTCACATTAAGCTTTGTTCACCCAATACTCCTGTACTCACTGACCTGAATTGGTATAGGTACTGGTAGATGTAGACATCTTATGAGGTAGAAAAGTGAAAGGTTTATAGAGGGAATTCCAGAGCTTGGGGGGTTATACAACTGAAGGCCTAGTCTCCCAATGGTGGGGCAAAGGAAATTGAAGATGCACAAATTGCAGAATTGCAGTGATACAGAGATCTTAGAGAAGGCTATGGAAGAATTTGAACACCAATTTCAATAGACTTCTCAACCAGCGAATATGCACTGACCATTTTCGGGGAGGAGGCAATTAGTGCATTTGCTGTGTTTGTGTCAAGTCAGCAGAAATACTGTGGAACCAGTCCGCCCAGGCTATGGCTAGTGCTGCATAGAATTACTGTACTGTGATTATAGGCTGGCCATGTATTGGGGCCAACACCAGGTTGCTTTGACCTACTTTCAGCATCTGATACAGCATAAGCTATTCAGCAGTGGCTGCAATATCCAGGACTAGTGCAGCAAAATACTGTTTTACAATCAGAGGGCTGAAGTGTATCTTTTTTGGGCTCAGTCTGAGTTGTTTCAATCTTTTTGGAGGGATTTTTGTCATGACGCCTAGCGTTTGTCATAGGTACCCTTATTTTGCTATATTCT